TCTTCATATCATGAACTCGTCCACTCTCTTTGGAACATCCCAAGGTCCGGATCCAGAGGGCATGGGGAAACTTTGTTCCATCTTTGTGTGGGGGGTAGAGGTTCTCAAAAGAAAACATGAAATGGGCTAGTTAAGTGAAATTGAGACACTGGTCCCCCGTCCCTCTGGGGTGGTGGCTATTGTCTTTCTGTGGGGCTCAAAGACAATAGCGGTGAAAGTGGTCGGGCCCCCCTGGAGTTTGACATAATTGATTGGAATAACAAGAAGTTCTGGGAGGCCAGTGCCTGCGACGGTCATCCTTTTTTGTAAAGGGGGATGAGAGAGGTGGGGGTTGAGGGGGGGGGGGGGGGGGTATTTGGGACAGGGTAGACGCTTGGCTGATTTGTAGGAGGGTTTGAGAGTGTGCTGTGTAAATGTGAGTTCGTGTGTTGGGGGAGAGGGGGGGAGGTAGGGTGTTGTGTGTGTGTGTTTGTGAGTGTGTGTGTGTGTGGGGGGGGGGGGGGTAGGGTGTTATGTAATCGTGTCGATGGGGGTGTAAAACAGATACTGGTTGTACAATCATTGACAAACATCATAAAAGCATTATAATATGTTGTTGTTTTTTTACCAGAATCCATTATCATTCGTAGTATGATTGTCGTGTTGTGTTGGTCACAGAGAAAAGGCAAAGCTTTGATATAATAATATGGTAGGCCCTACATGTATACGTTTACGTAACACCCCTACCAGCATTAGCAAACTGGTTATAAAAGAGGCGGGACCCAATCCACCTCATAGATGGTATGTGTTTGGATTGCTATGTGTTTGTTTGTGCCGCTGAGATTTAACAGTTATTACATCAAAACATTTTTGCGGCAACTTTTTTTTATCAAATTAAAACTAATTAGAGAACTTTGGAGGTGAAACGGCTTCGTCCCCGCCATCCAGAAGAATATAACGTAGAACAAAGAGATGGAAGAAAAAGGTGACTCTTCTCGTTTGAATGGTTCTCAAAATACCGTGGCTCGCCGTGAGTATAGAAAAATCATCCCTGTTTTGTTCCTATTGTTTGGTTTTTGGTGGTAAAGAAGTGGAAGAAACCTAAGCCCCACACAAATCTTGGTTCACCCACCGCCACTGATTATGAGCCAGAGACGCCTATATTGACTTGGCGGCTGAGTGAGTGAGTGAGTGAGTGAGTGAGTGGGTGAGTGGGTGAGTGGGTGAGTGGGTGAGTGGGTGAGTGGGTGAGTGAGTGAGTGAGTGGGTGGGTGG